GCTGTTGGTGCTTTGTATCTTGGAGGTCGGATGTAAATCGCTTGGCCGCTGATCATAGATCCAGCTGGCAACATATTTCTTGCGATACGCACTACAAATGTCTTCTACGAGTTTCCTCCAGCACCTCTCTCTCTCTCTCTCTCTCTACGGTCTTCTTTCTACTCCGTTCTCATCATCGTTCACTGCCAGCCTCTTAAAGCTCCGATATCCCAACAAAGTCGATTTGTCTTAGATAACGTACTCGATTTGAGATATCTACATCAGTGGATTTCAGAGCCTGCAAGAGCTCTCTTCCCACTCTCTCTCTCTCTCTCTCTCTCTCACAAGATACCTCTTCAGACTCACCAGGAGTGAAGTCCTCCGCTGTGCGGCGCATCAGAATCTACTATCAGGTCATAGGGCTCTCAAGCCAATTTTTTTCTCGCACTTCAATAGATTTCCTTAAAGTAATTAGTTTGTTTTAATGGCTTCTTTTTTTTTTTCTCAATTTCAAGTGGTTTTCAAGCATAAACTAATTAACTCTTCAACCGATAAACTTGACTTAATGATCATGGAAAAATCGACATCCAACTTTGAGTGATAGAAAGGTTCGACTACGAATTAAACAGACAATGGTTCCAATTCCAGACGGCAAGATGATTTGGACTGGCCAAGGCCAACAAAGGCTTCTTTCGGGCTCAATTTTGATCATGCAGTTCTATGTGCTCATGATGGGTCCTATAAGCACATGTGAAGCACATGTCCTCAGATCCACAGAGAATCATCCGATGAAGAGGGATGTTGCAGACGATCCCAGCCAAGCCTCCTCGCATCTTCAATTTCCATCATTCAAAATAACAAACATCATTCACCGCAGATCACCACTCAAAGGCCGTGTAAGATCGCCCTGTGAATCTAGTGAACGAGTCATAAGTATCGGAAACGGAAGGACCTCTTGTAGACCAAAGCATGATTGCAATGGCCCCAATTGTCCCAATTAGATATCTGCTTTCCCTTGGCTCATATAATTCATTTTAGCTTATACCTCAGCGTCTTGTTGTTGTTTTTAATTAATTTCAATTCATTCGGCTAGAAAACTATGAAACTATTGCTGTATGATCATAGAAAATTAAACACAACAAACACTTTCCAATTCTTGATATTCTTTGGATCTTATCCATCCATGTTTTTTTTTCAAAAAAAAAGAGAAATCACAAGACACACTTTTTGATGATTCTCAAAAAAAAATGCTAAAGATATTTTAGTTTATCTTTTACATATGACAAAAAGAAAGTCAGAAAGCTTGAAAATTCTTTCAATAAAAAAAGCATTGATATTACTAATTAGGGCTTCTAGAACAGAGACGTCACTCAAGCAGGTAGCCAACATGTTAGATACAGCTCTATTTCTACTTGTGCTTGAAGGTCTGGCTTCCCATGAGGAAGATCACTACCCCTCCAGGTATTAATTCATGCATCCATTTATCTTCTGAAATTTCATGTTTGTTTTCATTTTAAATTCAATATTCCAGAGCTCATTCAGTCTAGACTAAGAATAGATGCACTAATCATGTTTAGAGCATGTGAATTCATGTAGGTGTCTTGTTTTTAGAAAGAAACAAGCAATCAATTTGAATATGCTGAAACTTGAAAACATAAAGCACATACTAGATTGACCTCTGTGTTTCTACTACATACAGTCTACAGAGATGGGATAATTATCTATCTTCTAAGCCTCTATACAGACCCTCTTTTATTACTCATGCTGTACATTTGACAAAGTTCTAAATGATTCAAGAAAAGAATTGAAGTATTTAGGTTCCCCAGGGAGAAATTAAAAATATTACCAGATCCAACATGATCCCTCACATCCATCTATCTAGTTGAGAATTTTTCAGTGAAGTCCTTGTTTATTGGCCTTGAGTATAATTCTCACTCTCTTTGTGCTGAATGGTATGTTAATCACTTACTGGAATCAGGAAACCTCTGAAGTGCTGGATGATGTCCACCCCCAAATTTTGGTGAGTTTATGTTATGGAATTCTTGTGTGTGCAAAGTTGCTATGTACAATAGTTTGATTCAACTGCTGGTGCGCAAAATGAACCCCCCCCCCCCTTGAACTTTCTCGGACATACCTGCCCTCAGAGTTTCCCGGGGGCGATAGGACACCTAAAATGCCAAAATTTGCACATTCAAACAAGGTTGCAGGGGCCATAATGTGCGCTAGTGTTTTCTGTACAGTCATTGAAGATTTTTGTATGTCCTTCATCTTGCGATTCAGGAAATATGAAACCGCCCCCAGACTACAGGGAACCGAATAGCAAATGAATATGGTAACCCGGGCAGTGTGTACCAGTAGTTAATCGACAACACTGCTTCCATCGGAGAAGGTAGACATCAAGGACTGGCTAACTGGTTTATAATTTAGTAAGTTGGACCTGCTTGAGAGCTATTCATCTTTTATGTATGTCGGGATTAACAGCTTGCTGTAACCTATACTGCTTGACCAAGTAACCTCAGCAACACTTGAGATTCTCAGAAGCTCATCGACATCCATAGATAACAACAGCCTTGTTGGAGGAAGAATTTTTTCTTTGGAATGGGAGCCAAGCTGTGATGAATACGTTGGTGAGAATTAATTAGTTTTTCATCTCTTGGTTGCCAATCCATAATTATGTAGTTTGTATCTTAGGGGTCGTGGTCAGGCCGCTGATAGAGTCAGCTGGCAACATAAATATTTCTTGCGATAATCGGCAATTCTTCTACGGGTTTCCTGCAAAGTTTATTTTGCTATAAATGCTAATCGTTTCGCGCTGAATTCGCAAAGTACATACCTCTCAGCTCTATACGATCTTAACTCTACTCTGTTCTCATCATCGTTCACAGTGTGCCTCTTACAGCTCCGATATCACAACAAATTTGATTTGTCTTACACAAGTCGCTCGATTTGAGAAATTTACATTGGTTGATTTGATAGCCTGCAATAGCTCTCTTGTTACTATCTCTCACAAAATACCTCTTTATACTCACCAGGTGTGAGTTCCTCTGCTGTGTGGCTCATCAGAATCTAACATCAGGTCATAGGGCTCTCAAGTGGATTTTTTTCTTGGATTTCAAGAGAGTTACTCAAATCAGGTTTGTTTGTTTTTTTTTGTTTCCAATTTCAAGCAGTTTTGAACATAAAGTTATTTCTTGAACTAACAATGTTGAATTGATCATGAAATTTAGATTCATCTTGAAGATATAGAAACAACAGCCTTCAACTACCAAAACAACAAAAATGGTTCAAATTCCAGGAGGAAAAATTTCCACTGGCCAAGGCAAACAATGGCTACTTTCTGGATCAATTTTATTGATGTTCTGTATGATCATGATGGGTCCAACTTTATGTGAAGGATACATTATAAAATCAAAAGATAATCAATTGATCAAGAGGGAAATCACAGATGATCCCAGTCAAGCCTCCTCAAATCTTCAATCTCAATTATCAAAAACCATTCAACCCAGATCACCAAGGAGAAAGAGAAGGCCTGTAGGTCCTGTAAGATCACCCTGTGAATCTAGTGAAAAAGTCATAAATATTGGACATGGAATGACCAGCTGTGTACCAAAGCATGAATGTGAAGGACCCAATTGTACAGATTAGACATCTACTTTCCCATTGTGCTAGAAACATGTGAAACTATTGTTGTGGGTTCATAGAAAAAAAAAACACATTAGACAGTTTCAAGTTCTTTTTCATCTTATAAACACATGTCTTCAGTAAAAAACAATCTCCTTTATAGTTGTTTTGATTCTCAAAAAGAAACATTTATGCTTTACATATATAATAGTTGATTCATATTATTCAGAGAATATTATTACCAATACAATATACAATAATGCTATCATATCAAGCCGAGGCCCAACACCTCTAGATCTGACCCAAAAGAGAGCAGTTTGGAGAGAACCCTGGCTCAGTCTTGTTGTCACATATGTGTGACAAAGTGTAGATAGTCATCAACTTGGCGCATGCAGGGCAGGTGCAGGCAGTACCCACCAAGCGGTGCTAGAGGTACCAACAAATGATCTCTAATCTGTTCTGATGTGGAGTTTTGGGGTTATCCAAACTACACGTATTGTGGGTTTAATGTTGTTTTGTGCTGCATGTTTATCAAATTCTAACTTCAAAAAGGACAAACTAAGGGTGTCTGCAAGAGATCTCATTTCAAAAACAAACAATATTTAACATACAGATGTGTTTCACGAATGAAATCATCTGGTTGATCACGCACAGATCAAAACAACAAAAGAGAGTCGACACCAACGAGATTCGAACTCGCGCGGACAATGTCCACTTCCTTACAAGATAGCAGGGAAGCGCCTTAACCACTCGGCCATAGTGTCTTTGGTTGAAATGTTCAGTCAGAAATTCGGTCTCAGAGAAAAGCAAAATAGAAGCTTGTCAATCATGGTGATGGCCATTCAAGGGTAAGACAGCTCCTTGAGCGCATGAGATGTGTTCGTTTGGGTGGAGGATTGCTAGCTTATTACGAAAAAAGGCCCGGCAATGTGGATCTGAATCTCAGATCGATCAGACATTCATTTCAGTTATTCATGCAGGGAGATGGTGATACTACAATTTTTGGGGAAAGAAAGCTTGAGGTCAACGACTTCTTTGAAAGTAGAACAACAATAATCGTATGAAGAGAAATGTTTATGGAATAGGACTGCCGATGTAGAGATGAAGAAATTGATCCGCAAATACTTGCTTGAACTTGGAGCCTCAATAGATCGAACAAACGGCAGATCGGTGAGGCTGAAGACTTGAACCCATGCCATTGCAAAAACCGACAAATTGGTTAATTTTTGTGGTCTGTGCCTTGTAGGTGTTGAATGGGCTTTGCTGCCTCTTCTTCTACAAACCAAAAGCAAACGGGTTAAGTAAAATTACTACAAGGAATCTGCAATCTACGGAAGTCAGCAGACTGGTCAAGATGCCTTCTTGGACTAGTTTTTCAGCCTCGGGGCGATGCGCGAGGACTGCATTAAGCTTATCTTCCAACTGATTTTTTGATAATTCTGCTGGTTTGGCCTAATATTTCCCAAATGACTGAAAGCATGAGCTTTGGAAGGGCAGAAATAATAAGAGAACAAGTTGATCGAGAGATTGGCTTTTCATTTAAAAAGATAGGGTTATGTCAACTGATAGATCATACTCGCGAAAAATTCCGAAAAGAAAGTCTTCAAGAGAAGACTATAAGAATCGTACATACACTGTTATGAGAACGTTTTTCTCGGCAAGATCAGTCTTATCCGGTCGCTCGGCCAAGCGTTTTTCCAATGGACGATTTTTCTGTAATCCATGCGTAGGAGACGTGTCTCGTTCCTTGGTCATGTGAGCTCACCCATCTTGAGGACCCGTCAGCGGATTTGGAGCCCCGTTATGTGGATAAGTTTCTTTCATGATCTTGTCAGGTTGAGATTAGGCAGTCTGGTAATACCAAGAAGGTGTACCGAATCGGCCCGACGAGGTTTGATTGAAGTTGTGAGGTAATCAGATCACCAGGACTGCTGGAGTCGACTGTCGAGCTTGGCTAAGTGCCCCGCTTCCCGAGGGTTCGGACTCCGGAGGCTCGGGTCACCGGCTGGAGCGGGGGGTACAGCATGCTCGCCCCTCTTTCATTTTGACAGCTTGCTGTGTGATGCGATCTGTGACACTTGTGCGCCGGATCCGCACACCGGTTTAAAAACCCGTTTACCCGGGGTCGTATGTCTGGCTGCGCTCCTGGGGATACTGCGCAATAGGTTTGACACAGAGCGATGGGGTGTGATTCCGCACGGCCCTACCAACGGTCACCTCCGCCTCGTGCCATCGATCTGCCCGATTCCCTCACCGAACTCTTCAAAATGGTCAGCTCCTCGCCGTTTCTCCTCCCATCCCTCCACCAGTCCTCGCAACCGCACTGCCAAATCGAAGTATGAACCTGCCGCTGATGATCCAACTGATCCTCCCCCACAGACGCTCGCGGTAGATCTCCTTAACCCTTCGGCCGAACAAGAACGACGAAAGCACAAGTTGAAAAGACTGGTGCAAAGCCCTAACTCTTACTTCATGGATGTCAAGTGTCCTGGTGGGTATCTAAAACTCATTTCATTGGTCTTGTTACTTGACTCTCATCATTTTCCTCGAACTTTTTCACAGGTTGTTTCAACATTACCACAGTCTTCTCACACGCCCAAACCGTCGTTCTTTGCGGATCTTGTGCCACTGTTCTTTGCCAGCCTACCGGAGGAAAAGCTCGTCTTACCGAAGGTACTTAGCTCCCTCTCAGCCCTCGTAGCCCCATACACAGCAGCCGTTGACCAAACTCTTGGTCACTTCATCTTAGGTTGCTCATTCCGAAGAAAAAATTAAACGCATCAACATGTAAACAATTGATCAGTGCCTTCTGGCCTCGGGTACCCTTCTGCCTCATCTGCCGGAAGCTCGGATGAAAGTTGAAATCCTTACGGCCCTTGTGACTACAATGATTGTTTTCTCGGTCTTCTGATCTAATGCTCCCTTGCAACGTCCTTGACTCAACATCGCTCTCCTCTTGTCTTGGTCAATTGCTGCATATCAAAACGGTCACCAACCTGTAGCTTATCTCGTGTGCTTCTACTTCGTCCTACATCTGGAAGGTCTCTCAGGCAAGCACGAATTGTCGATGCAACTTCAGCTGTGCATCGCTGAGGGAGCAGTAGCGAAACATCAGATCCCCCCCACCATCTTAAGTACCTACCCACTACTCGTGCTTCGGTAGAGACGTCTGCGCCGATGGGAGTGGGAAGGCATCCGGGTGATTTACTTAAGCCTACAGGTCTTGTCATATCTGTACTACCCAGTCCTACATGTGTGCCTAAGCTTTACTACTTGCTTGGTTGTCATGACCGTTGCTTGCCTGCAGAATGTGAGGGGTCACTTTGCGGAGCCGTGAAGAATGATCTACATACATGGTGAGAGTGCATCTGAGAACCGGGCCCCACATCAGTTCTTTGAACACATGAATCAGAGTCACTCTTGCCAACCTAAGAATAATGGACGTTGCTCAAGTTGAGCTACATATTTGCCCATGGTGGGGCCGACCAGTTTGCTGACAAGAAATCAATTGCCTGAAAGGAATACCAACAAGTGGCACATAACGCTGTTTTTGGTAAGAATTTGTGAAAGTTCTTCAACTTGAAACTACACAACTGCAGCACTAAAAAAGAGATGCAGGAATTGGTGTGAAGAGGCAAGTGCCAAACTCACATGTCAGACTTCAAGCACTGTAGCTTGTAGGCTAGGTATGGAAACATGAACCCACTACTTGGCACTTCTGGATGAGTGAACAGTTTAGCTGCATCTACCCAACCTCCCAGGTTTTAAATTTGAATCTGTGTATCTTAGTCCACATGGATTTGGCTTGTTACTCTTATCCCCCAATGCCCTTGGGGTGTCATATCAAAGTCCTTATATTTGAGCTCTTAGCACTATTGATTATTGTGGTGCAGTATAGGTTTTATTCCACATTGTCCAGCAGAGCATTGGATACTTCCTGCATTCATGAATAGAAGATGATAAGATATGATGTGGTGATTGTGGCAGTGATTGCTTGGTAAATATGTATTGACATGGATATATCTGACTTCCCTTCTCCCACATGGCTGTCATGGTTTTTTTTAAGTGCAGATTTGATTTGACATTGCACACTATGCATATTCACCTAGATGACAAGTGTTGCAATGAAGTTTAACAACATAGCAGTACAATTGTAAATGGAGAGAGGGACTGTGTCGGATTTTCTAGACATGGCTGTCATGGTTGAAATTAACATAATGAGGATGTGTGTGGACATGACTGTTTATTGTCCATTTGATTGGTTGCAATATATTCATACAGATTGAAAAGGATTGATAGAACATGGGTTACATTATTATTTTCTAGAAAAATCTATACCCAGTCTGGGATCTAGTGATTTGTCTGGAAATGTGGCTATATGCCCTCAGGCCAGGTGAGCCTCATCACAGGCAAGTGCCTCCCTGTGAGAGAGTGCCCTCAGGGCCTAGGGAAGGACTTGTGTTAAATTTGGGCACAATGATTACCAAGTTTTGACCAATCACACACTGAAATTTTCATGTGGGTGGCAGACTGTTAATTTTGTGATTGGAGTCCCTCAAGTCTGCTCAATTTGTGTCCCCAAAGTCTGCTTTGTGCTCATGTATCACGTTGGGTCCAAAGGCAGACCCGAAAAAGTATTCCAGAGACCTGTCACTCCACTTCTAAATGGGGAACCAATATCACAACAGTCTATACAATTTGGTCTGTTTTGACGGTTGGTCAGTCTCTGAAACGGCGCTGGCGCAGTACATAGCATCCCACAAGGTGATTATCTCAAAGCACACTCGGAAAATATACAATGTCCATTTGCCACGCAAGACGGTTGCATCAGTTGCATTCTGTCGTTTCGAGACCAGTCGTTGCGTTGCTCTCATTTGGCGCGTGATTAAAACCATACACCTTTACAGCAGCCTCAACTTCCGATTCGTGGTCTTTCATTTCCGCAACCCCTCAGCCACCATGTGTTGGTTGCCCGGAGAACGTTTTGCGTGTTGCCAAAAATGGACCCTGCAGCGATGCATCGGATGGCGGCACCCGATATTGTTACCTACATGATATCAAATACATTGCTTCTTCCGTGTTATGCGAAGCCTGGTACATAACGAGGTTATTTGTATGTATGTAACAGCACCAGAAGTGGACCTAAGTAGACACACTCGTGACGAGTGCACATACAGTTCTGCAATCACTTGCAGCGGCTGAGTTATAAGCACAGGCCGTCCTTGGCCGGGCGGGGGGAGTCTGCCGCCAAGATTTCCACATCCCAGCGATTCTCCAATATACTTATTTGTGCATTGAAAGTATTGCCAACACAAAAATAGACACTCTAGAAAAAAGCATCATGTTGCTCCAAGCTAATACTCCAATGCTCTCCGTCTTCGTAATACTCTGTCTCACCTTCATCAGTTCAAGATGTGACGACCAGTCGAATCAGCGTGGCGAAATTCCGCGTAGCGCAAACCAGATCAAAATGGCAGTTCAACCTCAGTGCGGCACCTTATCTTCAGATAAGTTCGTCAACTTTAACACGGGCATTAACCTCGATCAGATCAAAGTAAGTTCTGCAACATTGCATGAGATTTTCGGGCAGATATTGTGACCAAGAATGCTGAATTCAAGCATCTCAGACTATCTACAGCTTCGGGGACAGCTGGACCTCAAACGGAAATTATAAAGGTGGTGTTCCCCAACCGGCAGTCCCCAAAGGTACTGAACCGCATTATGGAGGGTGAGCCAATACGATTTGCCTGAGTGTGATGCGAGGAATGGCAATCTTACTCCCAGCCATCTTTTTCAAGACGTGCATGCAATGGCCCCATGTGGACAGAAGATTTAGCTTCCGGTGGCAAAACACTCAAGAGCTATGCTGTCGGGGGGGCTACTATCGACCGCACTGTGTGGAAGGCACGAGTGAGTTGGCCCTAATGTCCGATTTGTCTTGAAGACCAAAGTTTAGGGGCAAACTATACTTGCTCAAGTGATTTGGAGATTAACTGCACTGTGATTAACCCAGTTTTCTTTCTTTTCGCGTACTTCACAGGCAACAAAGACCGACATGGTTGGCCATGTTGACACGTTCCTCAGTCAAAAGATAACTGTAGAACCTGAATCGTGAATTCTTCAGTTTTTTTTCGACCCTGCCCCCACACGTATCCTTCGTTTTTGAACTCAATGAGCTGACAGCTGGAATGAATTTCCAGGAGTTTGGCCACCATATTTTACGGTCTCAATGATTACTCAGCGTCTCTCCAAGGGCCGGGAAGCTTTGAAGAAGCGGTCAAACAGCTTTTCAATCAGACAGAGCGATTGATAAGTGCTGGATTGACGCAGTTCATTGTTGTTTGTACGTGTTTTCAAGCCAGTGCTCCCAAGATTTTTCCGAGTTTTAACAACAGAACCATCTGGCATGGCTAACTTTTGCTGGGTTTGTAACAGCACCTCCTTACACCCACGAGATAGTTAAACAGTTCGACAGCTCAATATGGAACGGTTTCAAAAAGCTCAAAGAATCAAAAAATATTGAATTCGCATACGTTGACTTAGTAGCCCTGTTTGATGCCATTCATGCCGATCTAAACTCATTCGGGTAAGAGTCTTTGTTGGAAACGCTTCTTTTTAATCATCTTGTTTTGTGATAAGGCTTGAGGCTTCTCCTATTTTGAAGCTGACACATCCTGAGGATGCCTGCAGATATAAATCGGACCAGGCGTGTCTAAAGTCTCCAGACACAACGGTCGGGGGATGTGAAAATCCAAACGAATATTTGGTTAGTGACACTTGTACTGTAGATGACCTCGAAAGATTGAATCCTTACTAACCCAAAACATTGTGATAGTATTGGATTCCATCTCATCCACAGTACCAGACACAACAATTAATGGCTGATTGGGTTCGCACCGTGTTGGAAAAATGCCACCAACCAAACAGCAACAGAAGAAAACGTGCGAATTCTTCCAAGTTACATTTGTGATCGAAGGTCCTACCTTTCCACTACATAGACGCGCCAATGGCCGATTCCGTTTGGAACGATTTCATCGCAATGACCTCTGGGAGTCTGGATTTAGATTTTGTTGGTTGTAGAATGCATCCCGTTGGTCACACAACTTTGCGTCCAACGTGCACACTAGTGCCATATCTTTCATTCTCATTCTTCATTTTCTTGATTTCTGTATCGCCATGTCAGACAATGTATCTTGCTTTTCCACTGTCCATCCTTTGTAATGATTCTTGCAACCCATCTTTAAATACATGGAACTACATAAAACATAAGCCCAAATGGGTAATCAACAATGAGAGTGAGCAGGAATTAGCGGCTGAAATTTTGTGAATTCAGACGAAAATTCCAGGCTAGACCATTAAAATCAGAAACCATTTGAAGTTGTTGATGTGTTGAAAACAACCTGCTGTTGACACAACCATAGTCATCTCTCCTGTTGTCCAAGGCCCAACTTCTTGATTTGTTATTATTATTAGTGGTTTTCAAAGTTGACTGTATGAACATATAATAAAAATAAAACCATAAATGATTTTGGGTGTGATTATGTGAGATGCTCCCAGCCAATACATAAAGAGTGCTGATGCTATTCCTGTGCGACCCAGTTACAATAAAATTAATTCACCCTTTGTTGAAAGTTTGACCACAGTAGAGTTTTCAATCTTCCTCTGAATGTATACAAAAATATTCCTACAGCTCCACTAATGAAATCATGTTTCCTCCCATAAAGGGGTGAAAGAATCTGATAGTTTCATGGTTAAGTTTGGTTAAGAGGGTGTCTGACTTGACAAATCTTATTTTAATAAAGAAAAACTATTACTTTGTCTCAGAGTGTTTGATTGATCCCAAAAACACAGATCCACGGGATTTCTCCTTTGCTTTTGATTAAACCAGTCTAAATCCTCTTCACCCATGAGTTGTAAGTAAACCATCTGGAGTGGATCCATCTGTCTGATTCGTATTGTTAAAATCGACTTCAACTTCATTGGCGAGGGACCCTCATTGCTCCCTTGAGCAAGTAGTGCATTGAAGAAAAGTTCAACGCTACAGAACGGGTACAAACTGCCAAATCCTACGTGAGGTTGCGATTGCTTTGATGAATCCCATTCAATCAAGATGCTCAAGGGGAATGACTGAAATCTTCCCGCTCAGATGGCAATCAAAATGAAAATAAAATCGACATCTAAACTGTGAAAATCATTCAACTGGATCTACTAGAACGTTCTAAAAACGATTTAAACCGGATGAAATCATAAAGCAAATTACCAAGCAACTTGATCAATGGGTGGAAGTACCCCAAGTCCACGTTTCTTCATCAAGTCGGACTAGTAGTAGTAGTCCTCTCCATGTGACCATTTAGACGATTATTTAATACATTGGTACATCATTTTCAATTGTTTCGGGGACCACAGTCAATCTGGAAAAGAAATCCAGGAAAGTTGAATATAATCCAATTCCGATTACACAGCGTACCATTGGCAAGTGTGGAAGCTGGAGTTTCGTCATCGACCATACTTTTGGAGTTCTGTCAATGAAATGAGAGGATGTAAGATCAGAGTTGTTTATTTTCGAATGGTCGTTGTCGATCCAAATCTTAGAGAGCTCCAACCGAGGTATTCTACTGATGAATTGCTTACCCCATTCCCGATTATCAAGGGGACAAACTTGACGAGTTTTAAGCCACCTCGAGATACAGTGGAAATGGAAAGCATGCTGGAACAGAGGGGAAAAGGAAAGTTCAGCCAATGGAATCTTTCCGCGATCATCCGACTTGGCGAGGATCGTGAATTCACATTACAAGTTCCCCAAGCAACCGTACATTCCTCGTTGGTCGCACTCGCCTGATTGGCTTGACATTCGATACCTATGTGATCGATCCGATGAGAATGTTAGACCTGAACAAGATACTAAAATGACCACATGCGATTTGTTCCTTACAAAGGTCCATGATGTGATTCCTGGAAGAAACACGGTTGTAGCATCAGACATTGCTCATCATATCACTCTGACTGAAATAATCAAATGAAGCTATCACCTGCAAATCGCACAATTATCAACAATGATATCCCAGGCCCACAGGGCTACGGCATTCCACTACGAAATAACCAATGGCCACCGTCGAAATAAGATCCAAAGACATCGTCAATATATGATTTATGTATGAAGGAAATCTCCAATGGGGATGATGGTATTGACCTTCTTGACCACAAATCTTTTTTGCTCCTTGGAAGTTGGTTCTGGGTCAGGTTTGGTGACTGAATTCTGGTCTACGTCCATCGAATCTGCCATGATGTCGGTTCTGTTGGGATTTCCGATCGATCAAGTCAAGGAGGATATGTATGAACCCAAACAGTCTTGAGCTGGCCGAAGACCGAATCGAAGCAGACCCACTGGCTTCGACCGCGGGTACCGCGCCAGTTTTCGTCGCACCAGTTGCATCCGCAGCAGCGGCCCGAAAGGAGACTGCGACCACGCGCACCATCGCGGCGCATTCGTATCAACTCCTTGTTCTGATGATGATGAGCCTTGGCCTAGCCATAGATCTCAAAACCAGAGGAACTTGAAAGCAGGTGATGATGGGGGACTTCCCGGTGTCAGTTTAGACCCGAAAAGTCAATGTTCGCTGGGAAATGCAGCTTTACAGAGTAGTCCTTCTCACTCCCACTTCATATTGCTCCGCGGCAGGATTGATGCATCTCGGATTCAAATATGTCTTCAGGTCATTGCAAAGAAACTCCTTTGACTATCCCTGAAAATGACTGAAGCTCCTTTTAATATGCGGATGATGCAAAATATGCTTATACATACCTCATCAGCTTCCGGTCTCTGTTGCTAACATGTCCCTAAAAATGGAATTTTAACTTGTCTCTTCATCAACTGCAAATTAGTGAATAATTTTGATGCCGATGGTAGGTATATTTGTATGCTGCAAACCCCAGCTTATCCGTGCTTCTTCTCCGTCATCCCCTAGGGGCGATATTGCCGATCCAGGCCGATCCCCTGTTTTCCCCGCGGAATGCTCTGCCGGGCCGGCTTTGCCTAATGAGGCAGATACATCCAAAAGTTGTCCTCCAGCACACCGGGCCACTATCATCATAGCGACCAAGAGAACCGAGATAATTTATTCTGTTAAACAGACATAACCAGGCATGCTATCGTGTATACTGCATTCCTCCTGGAACATCACCAGAATAAATAAAACATTACATCCGCAATCACATCATGTCCTTTACAACATCCGGTAATTGTAGCAATGGAGTGAGGTACCATCGTGTAGAACCTTCTCTTGCCTTAGGTAGGCCAGCTCGCTTGGGTACTCGACGACTCTATCAGAATATATGAAGCGATTGCCACTCTTCCTTAGAAGGCTTCTTGGGGTATGGTCCCCGTCAGCTTGTCGGATCAACGCGACGTGCCAAGTCATCTTCATTGATCTGCTTTCTTCCCATTATTGGAATCACCTTTGGGGATAGTGAGGAGGGTTTATAAGACCCGGTGAGCTCACCATCGAAAACACTTTTCGCATGAGCCTATTCGCGACTAAAAAAGTCTTCATTTGCGGTCAGGACTTCTCTCAGCCTTGCGTGTTTCTCGTCTTCACCCGAGCCAGAAGCTGCATAGGATGAAAAATTTTCATCATCGTGAAATGGACGATCAAAAGGGGCCCTCTCATTTCGGAGGATGTGGGAAAAAGCGACATGCCCATGTCTCATTTCAGTGACCGATGTCATTGCGTTTTCCCTTAGCATGTGACGATTTGAAGATGATGAAAAGGGGGGATTTTTCTAAAATTAAATTATTGTTTGTTGCAAAAGTCTGTCATACATCTAGGCCGAAGAAGCGTATGGAGGATTCCAATTATCCAAGTTAATCAATTCCATCATCCTCAGCTATAATACATTCTTTTAATTATTCCATTCGAATATATATCGGTCTCTTCTCTCCAAGAAATATACCTTCATTAACTCTAGAGGCATCGGGACGAAATGCTATTTCCAACCACTTTGACAGCCGTCATTGTACTCTTCAATTTCATAAATTCACAAATCATCGTTGAGGCATCCCATACTGAAAATGCGCTTGCTGAGGTAGTCGTCTCAGTCAAAGTTGATCCCACAAATATTTGTGGGGATTATCAGATTGTAGCGTACATATCTCTCCGGTTGCGTGGATGAATTCCATTGGAGCTAATCTATTGTTTTGTTGTTTTGATTATCAGTGCTCGTGGTACAAATGACCCTCAAAGTGGCTCACCCACCTACGCCGATTTGATCAAAATAGTGGAGACTACAATACCTCGAGGTTCTAACGTGGAGATTCAATACCCATCTAACATGGAATATGCCATAACTCCTGTTCATGGAGCTACTGCCGGTGTCACATATTTGTCTGATCAAATGTTCACATGTCCGAAACAGAAATATGTTTTTGTGGGTTATTCCAAAGGAGTGCGTCGTCATTTTTATCAAGATCAGTTATGTATGAATCGAACTCTTACTTCTCATTGTACTTACAGGCCATGGTCATTTCACAACTGATGAAGGAGCTGCCGATATCCGAGGATAAAGTTGTAGCCGTTGTCCTATTTGGTAACCCCTACCACAAGCCAGACGCTCCGCAAAATCGCTGCTCCGGGGCAAGTCCACTTCTCGCATCATATTCTTTCTCTACAGCGCAAATTGACCGATTAACTGGCTTGCTTTGCTTCGAAATAGACTGGCGGTTTCGGGATGGATGCAATGTTTGCGGAATCCATCCCATCACAATACATCCCGCTGACCTACGATTGCTGCATCAAGTGGGACCTGGTTTGCCAGACGATCGGAACTGTTGCCAATCACAGGGCGTATCGCGGCTCGCAAGAGGAAAAGAATGCAGCTGCCTTCGTAATCTCTCAGCTTCGCTTGAAGCTAGGCCACAGTTTCAGAATAGGCGCATAATTCAGAACACAACATACCAAACACGTAACCAGAAACTCTGAAGTTTATGCTTTCACATTGCGGCGTGTTTCGTGCGCTTATGATGGACGTGCCTTCAGTCATGGTGGCTTCTACATGTCTTTCTGTCGGCAAGGCAATCAAATACACTCCTTAGTTGCAATCGACTTCCCGACACCAAATTAAGCCTTATCCTCCCTTTTCTTGTATACCAATCAAATTTCCAGGCAACGTCTCTGGAGACCTTCCTCTGTTTTCTTATAATATTATCTATCGTTGTAAACCACTTTGACACTCTCTCTATCAACAAACTGAATTGATCACTTGTCATATCAATATCATCTGCAGAAATCCTTGAATTTTGATACGATTTAGGCCTCCATCCTTCACGCAGAACGTAGAGCTGAAGCACCATTTCGGGTGATGTGGTGATGTTGCTGTATCATCAGGTCTTTCAAAAAATCAACCCATTTATCCTCATCAGATAAATTTGAGTAACTTGCGAGTAGCGCTTGGTCTAGAGCATCTGATTGTCCCGATGGTAGAGCCCAGGCTGTTTTATCTATAGAAATCGACAGAGGCGGAGGCCGAATACTGACCCAACATCTCTATCTCTCTAATCATGAAAATATCCAATACAGCCCGAGTTGACTAACCTGACAATATATGCCAGATAAGGACGTCAAAAATTGCCTGTATATTTTTAATTTCACAAGAAAGAGGCCAAGCGTCTGTTGAGTCTTACTTTGGAGACTTGCCGATCTTTGTAACATGAATAAGGGGCTGGCGTTCTTGTCAATTGTAATAGTATTTGGGGGCAAAGTTCATGGGACTACATAGTTGTTATGTGATAAAATGAAGGGAAGGGAAATGGTAGTGGATTGGTTGATAGGGCCTTGCATGTATGATTCTCCATCCCCAGATTTCGAAACCCATTGCAAGAGAGTTGCAGTTACTTTCCCTTGCTGGCAAAGCAGTTGTTGTTCTCACTCCGAAAGGGATGTTTGGGGCACCCCCCTGCCAAGTAGGGTAGCTTTTCGTTTTCTTTACGAGTCGAGAACCTCATTTGCTCTCACAATCTGACTAAGGCAAGGGTTTCTGCATTCTCATTAGGAGGGATATCGACCGACAAACTGGTAATATTACCACTTTCAACTGTTTTTTTTGGCTAACGTTTCTCTTCAAACATTCAGGGAGTAAAAATGCAAATGCACATTACCTTGCGACTATGCGCATCAATCCGTTTGAGTTTCAGGACGCTCGGAGATATACCTAAGTAGTGCGAAATTCCGTGATTACCGAAAAGAAGAGAAACAGCTCCAGGCTTGTGCGCCCCAGTGTAACCTCCATAATGTCAGAGTCTGGTTTAGCGTCGATCGGGATGCACTATTCGTCTCCTGTGGAGGTGAGCCAGACTAGACTCCATGGACCCCCTAGATCGTACCTGATTCTGGATTGTCGGCCCGTCTCAGTGTTCCTTCCTGACATTGTCATGATATAATATGACCTTGCTCATTCAAGAGCCAGTCTCAGTTGACCCATCTCATCATTGGCATTTGTCACATTAAAAGTCTATCATCAACCATTCTCTCCTTCAACTATTTATTACATGGACGGCGCTTTAAGGTCACCAACTTCTGAGCACATTCGTTGGATGAAAGCATCCCCAACAAACTTGTCCTTGCTCCCCGTCGAGCTCGTGGAGCACATTGCGGATCACCTTCAAGAACAACTCTGGCCTCCGGTGGATAGTGTGATCACCGATTGGAACAGCTATCCTTCACTAAGATCTCAGCGCGACTTATGTGCTCTGTCACTGGTATGCCGAGCTCTCAACAAGATCATCGCACCCCGGATTCTGAAGAATGTTGTCCACGATTTCAAAAGCAAATCATCTTGTGAAACGAGATTCGACCCTTATCGATATAAATGGCTATCCCCTCGAAGTTTCCCCTCTCAGTTAGCTCCGAAGTGGATCCGGGTTCTCTATCTACACGACTTATTCCGCGATCAAGATCCGGCGATAGAGACGAAAAACATGGCCGAGCTCCTACAAAACTGTTCTGGAGTAGAAGTATTAGTGGCAACAGGCTTTTGCGCGTCGGTACTGCTCCATACTCTCCGCACAGCTTCACTGAAGGAAATGGATTCATTGAAGGTTTTGAAGATATTCAGCTATGCGATCAATGCCAAATCGATACTGGCTGCGTTTCGTACATTTCCCAATCTCACTAGCCTGACGATTGATGTCGTCAACATTGAAGGCACCGGGACGATTCCGCCCCATTCCTTACCGTCGAGAGCCTCGCTCATCACTCAACTCGATATTTGCGCTCGTTTATATGCACCAGAAGAATACGAATCCCTGTGTGCAGTTTTAACGCACATAGTCCCAACTCTCAAAGTAGTACACATCCATGGCGAATATTCCGAGGAGCTACATCGAATTCTTTCGTTGTTAAGACGATCGCCTGTTGAAAGCTTATTATTAAATTTCAAAAACAAATTTCCAGAAAGTCTGTTGTCGATAAGCCTCCCAACTCTCAAAACTCTCTCCATCTCGACTTACGGTTACACGAGCCCTCAGCTTTGGGAATCCAACCTGGCACGATCGGTCCGAAAATTGATAATAAGATCTAGTGGTTATCCCATCGACATCAATCATCTGCATCGGACGGTTGATATACCCAATTTGAAAGTTCTTCAGCTCCAATCACTTTGCAAGATACGCGATCAAGAAGAGGAAAGACGATGGGATGCACGGGTTCGGGAGTGGTGCTCGAGAAAGGGAGTCTCGTTTGTAAATAAAAATTCAGACAGCAATATCCTCACACCTCAAGATGACTATAGGCATCTTTAACTGAAGCATCTAGGTCCTTTTTTCAGTTGGTGAATCCCATTTGACTTGAATAGACCTGTAATTTATTAGAAATCCTTGGTAATTGAATCAATTTTCTTTTCTTAATCATTGAGAAGATTTGAATTGAGAAAATTCTGGTTGCTTCTTGAATTATTGATTTAAAGTTAAAAATGTCTCAAACTTTCAATTGACAATTAGCAATTCACTTTTGAAACCGACAGAAATTCCACCAAAAGCTGTAGGAATCAAACAATCAATTAAAAAAAACTTGAGAATGGTTGATCTCATGGACCCAATTTTTTTAGCATAAAATGTCATTCATATTATCAATCTTGTTACCTCATGTATGAGTGGAAATCTTTCCATCTACATTTGTGATTTCAGCAAGAGATTGATTTGAGGGTGAAGATTGATTAAGATTGAGTGTTGATGACCAGACCAAAAGATTTGAGACCTTCTTCTAACTCGACCACTTCAGGCAACAGGGAGTCCTCCATTTGGCAGCAAGACAAAAACAACTGGTCTACAACCCTGAATTAGGAGGAGCCAAGATGTTGATCAGGATGACAAATCTAAATACTCTTGCCCCCAATTTCCAATGTTTGATGATTAGGGATGTTATCAATTGATCCTTGATATTCAAGAAACAAACAGGTGTTTGACTATCAGACTACATAGATCAGTGTTCATATAAGGCCCTGTAATATGCTGTGTTGTAAATATTATTACTTTACTTTATTTTGATGAGACATGCTAGAACTTTTGGTTCAATGGATGACTTCCCGTCGCAATCTACGACCCTCCCAGAAGTTGATTTACACCCACCAGATCTAAATTTTTTATCCAAAAAAATCTTTTTTATCAAGCCTTCTTGCAATAGCTCTCACATGAACTGGTTGGAATCTTGTTTGCGTTCTTAATTTAAGACTGAGAGAGGTCTAAAAAGCTCTCTAAATCCCAACGGGAAGACATCCAATAATCAAGATTTCACATGATTTTTCATTCTTCTGAACACTTTATTATAGCACAACCAAGTGAGGGATAACTTGTATTTTTATCCACACATTCATGTTTAGCTGGCTCAGAGGATCTCATGGAGTCATTGTTGGAATGAAAGCTGAGTGATTTCCACCTCAAGCAGAACAGGAAACTCTCTCTTTTTTGTTTTCTTTGATGTTTCTGACATGAGTCTGTTTATAGTCTTCATTTGAGTTTTTTGTTTTGTTAAGTGAAGTGCAAGTTCAATTTGGTATTATATATTAGCTGGGTTGATGAATAAAATACAAGTTCTTTTTAGAGCCAATCCCAAGGCATTTTGGGCTTCCAAGAACAACCAGTAAACCTTTTTTTTACTCTTTATGATCAAAGTTGTTGATATACACCTTAATATGGTTTTTTTCAGCAACTTTGATCATGAATACCCACTGTCATCAAATTGGACAAAGGACGAACATTTCAACTTTTTTTCCCCTCAAGTGTAGGTTGGGTTTGAGATTGTGGAGAATTTTGATCTTTCAATAACAAGGGCCATCAGGGGAGAACCATCTGGGGAAGCATTCAGATCCATCGAAAGCAGATAAGCCTGTGTATATCTTTTTTCCCTCCTTCGAATCCACATAGAGCATCCAACACTATTTTAGGAGTAGAATATTCAAGTGCCAAGACAAAGGGCCAGCATCAGTTTGCTTGTTTTTTTTTTCTCTTTGAGTGAGTCAGTTTGTGGAGCATGTGAGCTTATATTACCAAGGAAGACTTGGAGATGAAGACATGTTGTCCATGATCCAGTAACTGTGAGTAGCTTTGATTTTTTTGGTTGCCTTGTGAGGAAGAATCATGCTTCCTCCCTTGGCCTCCTGACTGCGACTGAGAGGCATTGATCACTGTGATTTGTGAGAGTGAGGTTTTGACAGCCGCCCAAACAAACAACAAAAGGATGATGATGATGATGAGAAGATGACAAAAGTCTCAGTTCTCTTTCTTCGGTCTTACAACACAACTTTGGTATGTTACAGCTAAAACAACAACACGATTGCTTTCAGGATTCTGGGTTCAGCGGAGCCGGATCGCTCGGCAGCGCTTGGCCGACCTGCCGTCGCTCATGCAACAAAAACTTATTTATTAAGTGTATCCCCGAACCCTCAATATCTGTAAATAAGGATGATCAGCGACGATCCGTCATCTACTCTCTGAAGAGGAAAAACAAAGGGAATACGGACTGGTGGCCAAGTTCTTCAGCTTCCTCTCATACAAATGTACATAGAGCTGAGAATCACCGTTGTTCTCTCGCTATAGCGCATGTTTCTCGCCCATCGCTTGGCTCTCTCTCCATACCCAAAGATGTACCCAATCACATACAGGTTCTCCTGTATTTTTTTTTGTCAAGAGTTTTCTTGGAAGCTGTGTGTGTATGTATGTAAATTCAATGAAAATACATACAGGGGTGCTACACTTGTCTGTTTCAACTTGGCAGTTTTTTTTTTCTCTGGACTTCGACTTGCCACTTTCTGTACAGGTTTCGGCCAAGCTGAGGACAGATGGGCTTTTCTGTTCAACTCCAGGTTTTCATGACTCCCATTCCCAACTCTAAAAGCTACATATAACAGTCGGGCCTCGACTTTGCGATTGCTTGGCAAATCCACCCTTGTTTTTTTTACACATACAACGAAAAGCTCTCTAGCTCTTGGTCTCCTGACAAGCAGAAATTGCCACCAAAAATAACAAATACTCCAGAAGAGGCTTTTGAACTGTGATTAAACAGATTTCCTTTTTTTTTGAAGATTACGTACGTTGTTGTACAAAATACAGCATATCTTCAAATTTCAAGCTTTCAGTTCTTAAAAAAGAGTCTCCCTTATCTCCCTCTGCTCTCTCTTGACCATCCATCCTCCCTTCTTTCCCTCTTGGACAAACCACTTCGTCACTCTGCTTTTGCTATTTGAGAGTTGCTTCTCAACAAGACTATTCCAATCCGTTTATCTTTGAATTGTCTCTTTTGTTTGTGTGCCCGTGATTAGCTCAAAAGCCCCCTTCCCCCTCAAACAAACCAACCAAACAACTCTGCATCTTCCACATCCCATCTCTTCCAACTCAATCACACTTTAAACACATCCCCTCCCTCTCCAAAAACCAAAAACCAACCAAGAACCAACAACCGACCGATTAACCCACACATTCCCAATTCCAATCAAGATGTTTGCCGGAGGAGGGGTAGATGCCGAGTCAGTCTTCTCATCCGAACGAGGCACTGGAAAACAGCAACACCTACAACGCTCCAAATCGGCCGTCCAACCATCCTCAAGTGCTCGACGGCAACACCTCCACTCCAACAATCCGTTCCTCGATCCAGTCCAAGCGGCTGCCCGGGTCAGTCTGATAGAGGAAGAGTTCGGCTGGTCTGGTAGTGTGGGCGGGATCAGGGGCCGTGATGACCGACAGATCGAACGGGATGTGGAGTATGAACGAAAGGTCAGTCAGCTACAATAGCTCATTCTCACTCCCCCCCCCTCCTTCCCCCATCTCCCCTCCCCTCAGCACATCTTCATCCAGGAGAACATCCACCCCCGTATCTTCCAGATAAACACACCTCTCCCCTCCCTCATTGACAGATTCGCCACTCAAGTCAAGCACACTCCATACACATCTACACACCCTCACATAATTCACTTCCATCCGCACTATTGATAGTTCCGATTGTTGCGATCGATCGTAATGCGCCGTACTAACCTTGTTTATCTCTTTCGATCGATCCAATCCTATCACCAGATGGCCGAGAGAACACGCAAAAGACACGAGCGAAAACTGGCCCGTCAACAGGCTCTCTTAGGCACATCCACCCCCAACGGATCCACCACACAGACCCCCTCAACAACAACAACAACGACGACGTCAACAACTGGACTGGCAGGCGGCGAACGGACGACCAGACGGCCGGTGTTTGCCCCCACGGAAGGTGATCTCAGACGGGTAGACGAACTCACAACGCCCTCGGACCCAAAAGCCAACCCATCATCATCTACTGCCGCAGGAGCCAATGGCAACTCGAAATTGAACAGGGGCAAGAGTCTTCGAGACAAAGTGGAAGCAGCCTTAGGCCGATGGAACTCGACAGCACCCAAGAAGAACGGCCGGTCCCAGAGCGTCTCGGCCATCGACGTCAACAAGGTCTATAATCATCCCCATCAGTATGAGCCTCCGATGGTCGAGCGCAAGGAAGGCTTCGGCGCACTCGCCCGCAGGATCTCCAAGAAACTGACCATCGAGGACCAGGAACGCAGGCGCAGAGAACGGCTCAAGATGGCCTATGCCGGTCAGTCTTGCTCTTCCCCCCTTCCACCGTCAGATCTCTCAAACCATTTGGCCTCAAACTGAC